AAAGAGCATAGGGAGTAGATGAAATGATTCGACTTCCAATTCATAAGTAACAAACAACATATACAAAACTATTGCCAAATTCGGTTGTAGTTCTCTAAGAGAGAGAGAGCTTACAATCTAAAACATCAGTAAAATGAAAAGGCTATTAAAAACCCACAATCAATTGCAATTATATTGTGACTTTTTAACTTTCAATAGTGAATTCATTGTTAAATTCATAACAGTTCTCTAAAAGAGAGGGCTTACAATCTAAAACATCAGTTAAATGAAAATGCTATTAAAACCCCACAATTAATTGCAATTATATGGTGACTTGTTAACTTCCTATAGTGAATTCATTGTTATAGGGTGATGACGTGATGTGTTAGAGTGAATAAGATATGATTGGCAATATAAAAATAGCTAAGGACAAATTAGGAGTTCAAAAGTTTTTCACTATAGTTACCTTTTATTAGTAGTATGAATAGTATAGATTAGTAGAGTCCAATTATTATTCGTATTCGTTGATCATACCATATGATCAAGTTTACAACGGGTTTGTGTCTAGGGGGAAAATAGGCAACCCTGCCCCCACGACATCACCACAAATGCAATGCAAGCACCAATGCATGAATACATGCAATTCTCAACTTAAACTTTATAATCTCCAAAAATTTTCTTCTTTCTTGTCCAATTACAGAATGTAAAGTGTAATATATGTACACTTGCCTATATTAGTACACTCAAAATGATGAGTAGGATAAGAGAATAGGATGAGAAAATTTAGACCTGTCTATTAACTCTTCAGATCAATTTTGAGCAAAAAGTTCTCTAGGTAGGTAGAGTCAATAGATATTCTCGCATCATTTGGAATTTGTGCCTTAGACAAGTTAGGTGTGTCCACTGTTGTGCCAAGTAATGACGGTATTTATAGCACAAGTACTAACGAGTTGTCTGCAGCTACCATTGTACAAAGGTTAACGCCTTACGTGACAGTTGTACTCACCGACAATTGCCTCGGTTGTACCTATACGACAACCCGTGTGTCAAGTGTACCAAGTTTTAATTAAGTAGATGTGATGCCTCTTCGAATATAGTTGAGACTCGATCACCGAAAAAAAGGTAAATCCGCCTGTGTAAAGGGTCGTGGTTGTACATCCCACTTTACTCCCTCGAAGCCCCTCTGTAGTGACTTTCATCCACAGTGTCCAGCCGAGAAAAATCACCTAATTTTGGTGTTTTAGTCATCAATTCACATGTTTCATTATTTGATATGTTAAACTGTCAAAGACCTTGTTCGAGACTGAGGCTGACAACCATACTCATCTATCCTCGTTACTCAATTCTTCCTTGAAGAGAGTCATAGNTCTTCTTTCTTGTCCAATTACAGAATGTAAAGTGTAATATATGTACACTTGCCTATATTAGTACACTCAAAATGATGAGTAGGATAAGAGAATAGGATGAGAAAATTTAGACCTGTCTATTAACTCTTCAGATCAATTTTGAGCAAAAAGTTCTCTAGGTAGGTAGAGTCAATAGATATTCTCGCATCATTTGGAATTTGTGCCTTAGACAAGTTAGGTGTGTCCACTGTTGTGCCAAGTAATGACGGTATTTATAGCACAAGTACTAACGAGTTGTCTGCAGCTACCATTGTACAAAGGTTAACGCCTTACGTGACAGTTGTACTCACCGACAATTGCCTCGGTTGTACCTATACGACAACCCGTGTGTCAAGTGTACCAAGTTTTAATTAAGTAGATGTGATGCCTCTTCGAATATAGTTGAGACTCGATCACCGAAAAAAAGGTAAATCCGCCTATGTAAAGGGTCGTGGTTGTACATGCCACTTTACTCCCTCGAAGCCCCTCTGTAGTGACTTTCATCCACAGTGTCCAGCCGAGAAAAATCACCTAATTTTGGTGTTTTAGTCATCAATTCACATGTTTCATTATTTGATATGTTAAACTGTCAAAGACCTTGTTCGAGACTGAGGCTGACAACCATACTCATCTATCCTCGTTACTCAATTCTTCCTTGAAGAGAGTCATAGCATACTGCCATGTCCATAGGTAGAGACCCCACCTCTTAGTCCACTTCACCAGTCGAGCAACAGTGCATCAGTACTTGATCTTGCCACTATGGACTCCTAATGGGTTCCAGGTCCCGGGGGTCTTATTTCGAGGGTACTCCCTTTTGAGACTCATCAAGGATACCATTCTCACAAGTTGTGGGGTCTCAAACACTGTACCTTCAGATACCTTGCAAGGTTGCTCCCCTTGTGCTTACTATAGCCATTCTAGCGAAAAAGAATGTTATTCCGCGGAGGCAATATGACCCATGGCCACTAGGATTCCTCCTGCGATGGTTATGAATCTTGAGGGTGCTCTTTCAATGTCACATCAACTTTCAGCGTTACTAAAATGCTGGCCTGTGTCACCTTATGATTGAGATGTGTGCCCTACAAGGACTAATTTAAATAATCTGGCAACAATTTTACCCCCAACGTCTTCCTCTTTGTGACAAGAATCGACATTAAGAAAAGTAAAGAGAATCAGCACCGTCCACTTCTGTATAACAAAACAATTGGTGCTTTGCCACGTCAACATGCACCCAAAAAATTTATGATTTGGGCTCACAAACGAACAATTATTGCTTCCATCATTCATATGAGCAAAAGCTGATTGGGGCATCCAAGAATTATTTTTTGACATAATATCGAAAATTATTACAGCGAGGTCATGACTTGTTCTAGTGACTAGTGAGGTGACAACAATTTGAATGAAATATATAATCATAATAATGAGGATCTATCCAATTTTTTCTGGGGCATAGCTTAGACTGTATTAAATCCTAATTGAATTTTTTAAGTGGTAATTAGATCACAAGTAAGATATAACGAAACTATATTTTAGTTTTAAATTTTAGTATAAAACAGTCGATATTTGCATGCAAAATAATACTACTTCTTAAATCAGACTCGACATTGTAATAGTTACGGTACGTGTGCATATAACAAAGTATGAGAAGGCTTCACATTTTTTGGTTTTTGATAAGTAATTACAATTGAAAGGGGACAATGAGGTTCAAATCTACGAACAACTAGACCAGCTGTTGAATCTTCATAAGGTTTCACATTGTTGTCATCATTGAATTAACACCAAATCTTAATATTTGATGAAGTTCATAGTTAATCAAATGATAATAGTGAATTATGTCAATAAATTAAATTAATAAATTATGTGTGAATAGCATTACTACATGAGTAAACAGGTCCTGCCACTTTCATTTTGCTAATTTCATCCTCCTATTTATAGTTCTCACCTCACCTCACCTCTCAAGAGTGTTATGTCTTACATACCCACACAAACCTTAACTGGCAACTAGCTAGCTATGAATATTCTCCGTCAAGCAGCAGTCATTTGTGCATCTATTCCCCTCTTGGGCTACGTTCTGCGTAAGCTCTTTCTTCTTCTTTCCTCCCCTCATCTGGACAACGGCGCAGACTCCGACGACGAGGTGATGGTGAACGACAAGCAAAATGATCTCGGAACTGCTTGCAATGCGGCGGCCCAAAAGCATTTTCGGCAGCTTCAGCATATTCGAGGGGCATGATGAATAGGTTTTTCAAATATATTCCCAGCAACTAGCACTACTTTCCTTTCTTGTGTCCTTCTCTCTCTCTTGTTTCATTTTCTCAGTAACGTCTACTGAAAGCCCAGATGTAACTAAATCTAATTAAGGAGTTTCTGGATGTTGCTTTCAATACGTATGTATCTTGAATTGATCGTCAACCATGTATGAATAGGGAGGGTTTATTCAATTTCTCGACTTTGAAATTCAATGTCTATTGAATGTCTTGCTTCCCCTTCTACATTGTTTTCTACTAGAATAACTCCTTTTTTGTTCCAAAATCGTTCATGTGATCAAATTTCACCGTCACTCATCATCCATCATCCACGAGTTAGGCCAAAAATTTAAGCTAAGGGGCCGTGTTAAAGTATAAATGCCAAAGTTAAAACCATTGCTAATAACTTAAATTTTTAGAGTAGATGATGATTTAACACATGATGCGGGTTAATTGGAATTGCATTTTTACTAGTGGTATAAGTTTCAAATCCCAAGTGTTCACAAGTTTTAACATATTGGCAATAATTTTATGAGTAATTCTTTATGCACCGAAACTTGTATCAAATCAATTACAGTTATTGAATCAGTGACGAGACCCATTTATCCAATGATTACAAGTGATTTAATATAAATTTTGGTATACATAACATTACTCTAATTTTATAAGATTGCCAAAAAAACATGCACATCTAAGCATGCACTAAAGGTCACTTTATTCAATAATTGGAGATCCATGTTCAGATTATCTCAAATAAAGAATTCTCCACTTTGATCTATAAAATTCCAAAGCATATATATTTAAGTAGTGGGCACCAATCTACCAATATATTGATGCCCACCAAACCTTGAAGCATTCATGTTAGCTGAGGTGGAATCCATAGTTGCCTGGGTTGAACCGGCGAAGTGCAAGTATATAAGTACTTAAGGTACATTATCTCTAATAGTTTAACTTTTTAGATGAATTAGTGGTTTAATATAATATCAGAACAAGAGATCTTACATTTGAATTTCCTTGCCACCCTAATAATTGAACACTTGCATGTGCTTAGCCAAAAATTTAGTCTACACGTGAAGAGTGTGGTGAAATATATAACTGTTTAAGTTACACCATCTCTAATAACTTAATCTTTTAGATGAGTTGGTGGTTTAACATGATGCACAATTTGAAATTGTTTTAGCAGGTACTAAAAATCAGTGGGATAAAAACTAGATACGAAGTTCTAGGTTCCTCTTGTTTACTGTTTCTATCATGTGATTTTCTATAGTGCACCAAAAGGATGAAGTAAATTGCAGTTACTTCAAGCTTCTGTATACTAAGGAGGGAAAAATTTGCAGAATCTTCAGGAATCAATTCAAAGAAAAAAAAAGGGTTCAACAGATACCTGAATCCACTCCTGCCTCTATTGGGGCCATATAGGCCGGGAAGAGGACTCATCACTTAGCGTAGTAGCCTGACCAAACAGTGATTGGGCCTTAAATTTAGACTAGTCCAGTATCATGGGCTAATTAATGCCGGTCAAAAGACGGGCTGGGCTTTCAAGTTGGTTAGACACATGTTGCATCTAGATCCTTGCAATGTGCTGGATTTTGGTTCCAAATTCTTCAATTTGCTTGGCCACCATGCTTGTGTCCTGTTTTTGGTTTTTATTTTCATGTTTTCATATGTTTTAAATTTTTTTGTATATGGTTGTGCTCCACCATCTAATTGTTTTGATCCGTCTCTATTTTCCCTTTGTGACATTATTTCTAAATAGAAGAAACACGCGTGCTATGCATGTGAATGCATAACATTGACATGGGTTTGTCACTACAAAAATAACCTAGGTAAGCAAAACTTAAATTGGTAAGACTACATATTCTGAAAAGGTTCCTTCTGCCGCGGCCTTCTTGTACACATTTGGGAAATTATTCAGTATCATTTGCAGTGCAACATTCAACCCTTTATAAGTCATCTCTTCAAATTTTTTAGCAGTAAATCCACTAGGGTTCATTGGTGAATCCTTGCTAGAAGTAGAGGGTATTGGTGGTTGTTTTTTTTTTCCTTATCAAAAAGATCATATGATTTTAGCCTAGTTTTCCATCACAAATAATCGACAGGCCCACCCTCAAATTTAAAGGGGTAGCATCTCTTTGATCACACCAACTTTTGCTTGTTCCCCCAACCTGTCTGGTCTTCATATGTTAAAGTTTGTGCAAGTAGTTAACAATTGAGGGCCAACACCCACATGGATGCCATCTCCCAAGCTTGTGAAGAGGATGTTCAAGTTCAGAGCTCATAAAGAGTTTCCAAGAAAAGGAGAGAAAGCAAGGGGGAATAAGGCACCATTATCACTCTATTTGGTGTTGAGGACCACAGAGAAGGACCTAGCTAGTTACATACAAATGGTGGCACCAGGGTCTGCTAGGACTTGAAATAATTGATGCTATTATTTATTTCAGTTAGAGCTAAAGTTGACTTGATCCATCTAGAGCTCTAGCACCATGTGAGTTCATATATATATATACTTTCTATGATTAGGATATGAGAATAGTGTTGGCGTTTAATTGATTTCTCAAATCTCATGGAACCCTCACCTATCTATCCCTAGTATAAGAGAGTGGATCCTTTAATGCCATTTCCACAGGTTCAGCTCCCAATTTACTCAATACTCATCCTTTCAAGTGCACTGTTTCAATCCTATCAACACGGGTCTAAGACTAGAACTCCTTCCTTCTTCATTGGGGACTCCGTTTATGGGTAATGCTAGGCTAACTAAAAAATACCATAAAAAAAAGGAACTAAATTGGGCAGGATTTTAGCACATTTTTTTGGCAGATTTTAATGAGATACCTCTTCTGGTTTTTGACAATTTCAATATCCATATTGTTCACATTCTATTTCTTAAACAATGTATAGTACAAAGATTATAACGATAATACATGCTCATTTTAGCCAGGGATTCCACCCAACCTTCTCGTATTGTTGGTATGTAAAAACATCATTTCAGTTGTTTACACATAAAAGCCCATAAGGATGATTTTGACCAATGCTCTCTAGGTCATCACAGGTCCAGCTCGTGATTACTGGATGGTTACTCTCTCTCACACACACATATGAAGATTCCTCTGCTTCATGCTTGGGAGTTGAGATAACCAAGGATAAGCGTCAATTGGTAGTAATATTGAGGATGAAGATGGATTGACACTGTGGTCCTAGCAGTATGGCCATTGGAATGGCTTAGTTGAACAGCTTAAATGGCCGATGTTGATGTCATGAACATCCATTGGTTCTTCTCAGCGAAAATAGCAATTACGTTGATGGGATCCAACCTATGATCTTTCATAACGAGTGACCACCCTTCATAATTCGTGTACAAGAATGACTGATTTTTCACTCTGTTAACATGTCAATTTCGGGTTGAAAGCGAAGACATTCGCAGTAAGCTTGATTGTACTCTTTGAATTAAAAATATGCTATGACATAGTGCGGACAAATTATCAGAAACTATTATCAAATAGTATTCTCTCAAGTTCTATGCACACGACGCATGCTATCATCACTATAACAAATATATATTTAGCTTTGACTAATACTAGATAGACTTAAAAACTAGACTTAATAATCTTAACTATTGAATACGTAGTGGGTTCTAATAAATATTAGAATTCACAATCAAACCAATGGTTATAATTATCAAGTCTAATTTTTAAATTTATATAACGTTGATCTTTAGCTTTTAAAGGGAGGTGTGAGAGTTGACAAAATAGTGTATATTTAGTAGTTTGACTTCTAATGAAGTTAATTATTGCTTCCATGCCTGTAACTTTTGAAGAGATCGTAACTTAAATATTTATTTTAACACATCTCTGACATTCGCGCTAGATTTATATAAACACTTGAGTTTCATTATTTTTAAAAACTTAAACTTTTAGATAGAGTTGTTATTTTAAATATTTATTTCAATATATCTCTTANCATTATTTTTAAAAACTTAAACTTTTAGATAGAGTTGTTATTTTAAATATTTATTTCAATATATCTCTTACGTTGTAAACACTTAAGTTTCACCATTTCTAAAAACTATTACTTTTAGATAGAGTTGTTAGCTTTAAATACTTGCATGTTATTGAGAAGAAATTTAACTGACACGTGAAAGAGCATATTAGAGTATAAAATATTTCTGTTACATCATCTCTAATAGTTTATTGAATAAATCGTAGTTGATTATTATCTGCTTACTCGAAACTACTAGTTCATTAGATAGAGAGGAGAGAATGCATTTGATAATATATATAAATAACAATTCAACACTAGAACTCAAAATACAATAATGGTCTCCCAAGTATATATGAGCTTTATATCATTTTAGACGCTATTATTTCGATTTTATCATTTTAATCTTTCAAGTTTTCAATTTATGTTATTTTGTTTCCATCAAAAATAAAAATTTAAATTGCCTAATAAAAGTGGTCGTATGCACATCACCACACATTTTGCCCTCAAGCTTAAGGTTCAATAGTAAAAATGTAAAATATATTTAACTCATGTAGATAGATTACGGTTGTATCTGTATCTGTATTTTTTTTTTTTTTGTATCTATNAAGGTTCAATAGTAAAAATGTAAAATATATTTAACTCATGTAGATAGATTACGGTTGTATCTGTATCTGTATTTTTTTTTTTTTTGTATCTATTTTTTTTTTATTTTCGAGTTTTGTCACATTAATATGTCAATATTTTGTCACACACATTTCTTGAATCTATTTATCATCATGCATCTTTTTTTTTGTTCAACGATTAGGGGTGTTTAGATCAATTTACGCATAGTTCGACTAATCTCTTCGCCGATGTGGTCAAAGACATACCATTCATATCGAAACTAAAATATTCAGGGATAAATCCTTCTGGAATCTATTTATCATATCAGATTTGTCTTTTGTTATCAATATCTCTAAACTGTTTGAATTCTCTAGGGAGGGGTGTAAATTGATGTGCTCTCTCTCTC